CCTTTACTTTATTTTGAACTACCTTCATATCTTAAGAAACTATGCAACACTTCTAATGGCTTTCTCTAAACTCTTCTTTTTATACTGACTTCCAAGCAGTCTTTTGCTTTCACCAGACATTCTAAAACAAAAAGTTAATTAAATAAGGTTAATCGAACAACGAAAACCGAATATACAGGGCGTCTTCTAAAAAATGGTAAAAATAACCTGAGATACCTTGCATCAAAATATAAAGATTAAAAAAAAATTGCATACATTTCGCATATATCAAGGAGCTACACCCTAGAAAGTTGTGAATATTCAAATGTCAAAGTTAATATCAATACATTTAGCAAACGTTGTATTCAAATCGCTTAACAGTTACTCAGAAAATTGCAACTAAACATGAATACATAAAAAGCCAATGTGGTTGAAAAAATCATTAAGTGAACTTAGAATATTAAAGGTGCAAGTAAAACAAACAGTAGTGACTTAACGGTGCTACTTTGGTAGACGGTTGCACGGATTTTTGGCGATTTATGTTGGCGCGGTTTTTACAATCGTCAGCCATCTTGAAAAACGCTGTTTTTACGCATAGTATTCAAAACTTTAAAAAAATAAATATCGTTAAAAGCAATAGATTAATTTTTTGTTGAAAATGTCGTTTTTACTTCCTTGTACGAAGTAAACAGGACGTATTGTAATCGCGAAAAGCTTCAGGCAGAATATTTCAACGAAAATATCCACTTTGACCGCTTTCGAATGCAATTTAACGATGTTTTTGCCTGATATCTATACGTACGGACAGAATAAAAGACTCATTTCCTCCAAAAAAACTGCTTTAAAATGAATTCTGAAGGGAATTTTTCGTGGCGTCTGTATGAACGTATGTACGTACGTGCGTACGAACGTACGTACGTATCTCGCATAACTCAAAAACGAGTAGCCTCAGGACGTAGAAATTTTGTATATAAGACTACTATAACATGTAGATGTGCACCTCGTATTTTGGTATCAATCGGCCGCGCCAAACGTATAAAAATATATTTATAAATATATCCACTCTGTTACCCGGCTCAGTGATCTCAGTTTCTTTACTCTTATATGTTTGTAAATTGTACATTTTACTTTAAAATGATTGAATTATGTTGTTTTTATCTTCTGGTTAAGGGTTTTATGCCTTTAGTAAATCTGTATGCAATATTTTTAGAATTATCAACAATTTTAAAATTGTTTAAGTGCCGCTAAGCCTAATTTGATGGCGGCCATTGCTCTTGTTTACATTTGAAACAGATGAGTAGAGGATTTGTTGCCAATCTAGAGAAACTTAGCTTCGCAACAACAAAGATAACGCCTTCATTTATTATTTAAATCATGCTTAATCCTTTCTGGGATTTTTTCGCGGAAATAAGCGTTTAAGATTTACTTCGTAATTTTTAATACAGATATTTTGAGTTTTTATGTATTTTTGCCTTGTCGCGAAGTGAAAACTGAATTAATTGAATGAGAAATACTCAATCGTCTGTGAAAAACTGTTTCTTTTTTGTTTTGTTTGCTTATTTTTTTATGCATAGTTCTAGCTTTATTATAGTATTTGAATAGAACATGTGGCAACGATTAGATAATTCTTTAAATGATATAAATTTTGTGCATTCTGAGTTATAATATGAACGAAGTATAATACTGTTAAGTAAACCTAGCGCCAGAGTGTCGCTATGGTAAACAAAGTGAATTTTAAAGAATGCATTTATTCTATTGTGGTTTATGCGCTGTCGGCGAAGTAGGTTTAATTCAATCTAATAAGTTTAAATGAAATTCAAGAAAAAATGCGTATAATTTAATATTCCGTACAAGGAAGTCATGTGGTGTACACATCAGATTTTTTAAGATGGCAGGCAAGTGTAAATAAATACATTTATTATGAGTATAAAATACTAAAGTAAGGTTATTATTACTTTCATATAGCAAAGAAGAGAATAAAAACACCGCTATAAAAACATTGTGCCAACGTTTAATTAGATTAAAATATTATTTAAATTGAATATCGAATTAAAAACCTTATACCAACATTTAAAAGAATTAAAATATTACTAAATTCAGGTACTTTAAAATACGTTATAAAGAATATAATTAACATTAAAACATATGTGACAATAATTATCTCAGCAATTTTTGAAAATAGTGTATTAAATTTTAACAAAAAATGAAGTATACAATTATAAAGTAAAAGAAAAATATGTACTTACATTTTTTTGAGTCATTTAACCTGTCGTTTATATCAATAAACGACAGGTTATTCACAATACATTCACAGGTTACGACAGGTTATTCACAATAAAAACCACAATACCACAAAAAAATCGAAATCATAATTTAGATATCAATGAAAAAAATTTGAAAATGTAATATCAAGGGCAGGAATAAAAATTAAAAAAAAAATTATAAATAGATAAAGCAATTTAGAGTCAAATTAATGGATCATGAAGTTTAAAAATAACAAAAAATTAAAAAAAAACCCTCCAGTAATAGGTATTGTTTTTAAGATTTCGAAGATCCTTTAACCGCCCCTACCTGAAGTACAAAGGACAATTTTTTGATTCCGATACCAATAATTCTTGGTACTTACCTATAACAACATTCATCTTTGAAACAGACATCTTTGAAGGAATTCGAAGATATGAATTAAATTTTAAAATGGCGCGGTAATGCACAAATTTTCAGTAACCAATCAAGGAGGTGATTACAGCTCGTTAATGCACAAATATTCTATAACCAATCAGAAAGCTGATTACATCACGCCTAAAATTAAAATTATCTAAATAATCATAAATAATAAAATAATTTTTCAAAAAAAATGCAAAATTAAACTGTACTTTAATATTTAACAGCCATAAATAATGTTTAAAACATTAGATTAAATTTATAGATATTAAAACTAATTACTTAAGGTGACGTCAATGATTACATCATCCACAATATAAAATTTCATAAAATATCATAAACAATAAAATTTTTATTTCAAATAAAAATGCAAAATTAAATTGATTTTTAATATTTAAAAGCCATATAATATTTAAAACACGGAATTTATGCATAATCAAACGCATTATTTTTTAAATAAAATGACAACAAAGTATCGGTTACCATAAATAACTTATCCAGCAGTGGGTTTACAATAAGTCGTATTACTCGCCAAAAGAAAAAACGCCAAAATTCGTGCAACCGTCTACCACAGTAACACCGACTTAACCTCTAAAAAACAATTTTCACATCCAACCACACTGAAAATGTTTCATAAACTGTATCATTATCACAATCCAAATGGACCTGACGGACGTTGTTGCATAAATAAAGCATTTGTTTAAATCCGATTCCCTTTTTTTAGAGGTTAAAAAGCTTATTAAATCCTGTCAGCGGCGGGAGTGCATTTTTCATTTTGCGTCACACGGTCGACTACACAAATACTCTCTATCCCCCAGAACTTAGAAGCTTTTCTGTTCTCAAAATATAAGAATATTTTCTGCATCTCAAAATATAAGAATGGCTTGAAGCATGGCAATTCCGATTGTATTTAATTTTATTTTAATATTCCTTTATTTTCTAGATTCAAGCAGTATGAAGATATATATAAGATATATATATAGTTGGGGTAGTTCAATTGGTTTTACCGCCTTGCCCACCGCCTAGGGCCGGCCCTGTATGTAGGAACATGTTTTCAACTCCTGTACCAGACTGTGATGGCTTATGGCTTTGTTTTCTTTTCTTATCCCCATTTCTGAGAAAAATATGTGAACGGTGGGACTGCGAAATGTAAAACCAATGCAGTAAAGTAACAAAAATCGACATATAATCGAAATTATGCGACATATGAAAAGAATATTTTACTATTAAAGTACATAGGATTGAATCATGATCAAGATGAAACGACGTATAATTGTAAAAGACATATAAACGGGAAACTTGTAAACGGTGCTCCTCTATATTACTATATCTATGATGTAAAATGAATTGATTTGTTTTGTTACACTTACTGCTCATTTTTGCACAAAGTCTGAGTTATATTTTAATTGACTCGCTTTCGTTTAATCTTTGTTTAATATTATTTATTTATTATTTTATTTCGTTTAATGTTTGTTTACTCGTATTTGGAAGTCTCAAAAATGTATATACAACTTGTTGTTGGATTTATTCTCTACTTTCAAGAGTTTATTTGTTTTGTTAACTTTACTGCTGATTGCTGCACAAAGTTTGAGTTATATTTTAATTATTCCACCCTTTGTTTAATCGTTATTGAATATTATTTATTTATTAAGTAATTTAGTTTAATGTCTGCTTAATCTTATAGCCAATTCTCAAAATGTATATACAACTTAAAAGTTGGATTTATTCTCTACATTTTAATTCTCCCATTCTCATTTTCATGCATTTCATACTGTAGCCAGTTACAGTATGAAATGTTAACTTATTCGATTCCTCAGAGAATCGTGGATTTAATTAATCATACATGTTTTTCGTTATACCAGAAACTCTTCTGTTACACAGTTATTGTTACTGTTTGTATTTAAATAACATTATTTATTGTTTTATTAGTAAGAATTTATATAAATGGGATTCCTATATAAGGGTTTGTTCCTTTCAGCTAAATTCGCGTTTGTGAATAAATATAATAAATGTTAAAAATTCTTTAAGGAAGTTTCCATATTATGGTAGTGGGATTTCCAAATAATGCTTAACTTTACTGTTTGATACGAAGATACCAAAAATAATAATAATAATAATAATAATAATAATAATAATAAAAAGGAAAAGAAAAAGAAAAATAAATTTATCCAAACGCTCTTCAGACACTAGGCAGTTAAGTTTTATAGTTTTCATCATTTCCACATACGGCAGGCAGTTTCTTTTTTGCTAATAAAACCTGTTGGCAAGAGAGATAATCTTAACCGCAGCTGCGCAATTCGTTCGTTCTTTCGTCAGTTGTTGACAAACTGGGAAGGACTATTTAAACACCTATCGTGTCATGAGTCAGTGATTTCATTTCACGGTGAAATGGTGTGAATTTAATAAAATCTTGCAGAGGACCAAGTATTTGCGCTTTCTTTCACAAAATGAAGTCGATTGTAATAATTTTTGTAGCTGGTCTCTCTGTTGGATTAGCTGCTGTGATGACTGGTGGTTGGAGCAGAGCAGATACCGCAAATTCTGCTAGCACTCAGAAATACGCTGAGTTTGCTGTTGCAAAAATTTCGGAAAAATTAGATTCTTTATTTCATATGAAATTAATGGAAGTTCTTTCCTCTCAGAAACAGGTAAAATTTTAACTGTTTTATACATCTGTTATTAAGTGTTGTATATATATAATTTTAGGAGTAATCGTACTGAAATAGATGCTTTTTTCAATTTTCGCTTATTTCAAATTAAATTTGGAATAACATGAATGCATATTAATAATTTTTTTTAATAAAGTAAACATTTGCAAATTGTATCCGCGATATTATGGCATCTAAGATTTAGGCAATTAATTACGATGTGATACATAAATAAAGTTTTTAAAGTACCTTGCCTTAAAGTACGTGGTAGACTTTTAAAGTAACTGAGAACGTTGTTATACAAAATATGAATGTGAAGAAATCTCTGGAATCATTCCAGCTCCTGTAATAATGAATCTTCATACAAAAATTACTATTTGTTGTTTTTCCCATTTTAAACATTGTGATGTAGAGTATTGTATATTTTATGAAACAATCATTGTTTCTTGCAATAAATAAAGTATTCTTCGGATATTCAATGAATTCAATCAAAACTTGGGATGATGTTCAACGAAATGTATATTCAATGCAAATATCAGTTTTCAAGAAATAGGAAAACGATGCCTTACTTAGAACGCTTTACGAAGTTTGTTATTATAGTAAAGCCTTCACTGGATATGTATTTTATCAGAAGGATATGTTCGCGGAGGGTTTTCAAAGGAAACTGATGCTTATTAACATTTCGCATAGCGAGAAAGACTAAATTCTCATGCAACCAATCCGATTATCACCAGAATCGGAGTCTGACTCAAATTGCCTTTTTTTTCTGATTGGCCAAACTGGGACACCTGCCGAACATGTAAATTCAAATATTTACAACTTTTAAACTTTTCGCTAGTGAGCTGAAATATTCCGGAAATATCCCCAGGAAGTATTTATTTACGATTTTCAAAGAGTCGTAGAATGTTCCAAGCATAATCTATCTTGAAATATTCTTGTAACCTACTGGGTGAATATATCTGAAATATTCTTGGCATTTTTATGGTAATATTCTTCTGTATTATTATTTGAAAAAAAAACTTTCATATATTCTTAGAAAACCATACTAAGACTAGAAAAAGAGTGGATTGTGATTAGTTTTCTTATACTAGTCTAAAGAAAATCTTAAGATGCTGAAAATGTAAGAGATTTGATTTCTGTTTATAGCTTAAATTCCTAGAACATTCTTAGTATATGTAAAAGCTATTCTTTATATATCATTGGGAATATTCTTGATATAATAAATTCGGCTGACTATGGGATATTCCATGTATTCTAAAGTGCGATTAGAAGACATGGAAGTTTCCTGCAATATTTCCATAAATCCTCTGGAATATATCAAGCATAATCTTGTGTTACGCAGAATTTTATTAAATATAAAGTTTGAAAGGCCTGCTTTCAATTAATGTACATAATAAGCAACGATTGCCACTAACAAATATAAACGCGTTACACTCCCGTCTACTACGTTATTTGGCTCACATTTCATGATAACGAGGGAATTCTTCCAAGTTTTCTGTCCGAGTGAAACGATGGACAAAATGGATAAACGGTCGACAAAAGTGACGTAAACATTTCACGAGACGAATGTTTTAAAGTATTAAATCAAGTCAGACGGCTAATCGTGAACAAGGAACTCAACATTGTCACAGAAGAGGGGCCGTCAGACCCATAAAGAAAATAATTTCCAGCAAGGTTAAAATTTGGGAAGACTAAACATTTTTCCAACTAAATATGCGGAACGGAAGGTCTAGCTCGTTTTCTATTCCATCTCGCAAATTTTCTTCAGAGAAAGGAAGATAGGGATAAACTGATGTCCCGAAAGTATTATTTCGGGGCAGAGAATGTGCTACTCAAAAACCGAATTGTCTCGAAAAACTGTAACATCTGGAAACCCTACGTAAAACGAATTATTCTTGTTCAGATGTAGCATCTAATCAAACATCTGTTGGTCATCATTAAACAGGGAATTGAATATTCGTTTCCAAAATTGGGTTTTTAAAGAAGTAAAATATGGATATTTACGGAACTAACATTGAAAGTGTTAATTTTTAGATAGATTAAATCTAAATGTTTATCTGATTAATTTTGAGCAGATGTGATATTTTATCTGATTAATTTTGAGCAGATGTGATATTTTATCTGATTAATTTTAAGCAGATGTGCGGTTTTGTTTGATTAATTTTAAGCAGATGTGCGGTTTTATTTGATTAATTTTAAGCAGATGTGAGGTTTTATTTGATTAATTTTAAGCAGATGTGGGGTTTTATTTGATTAATTTTAAGCAGATGTGAGGTTTTATTTAAATAATTTTAAGCAGATGTGAGGTTTTATTTGATTAATTTTAAGCAGATATGAGTTTTTTTTTAAATAGTAACAAATAATAAACTATCCCATAATGTACTGAAACTTTGACGTAGAAAACATTTTTGACGTAAAACTAAATTTTTTATGCAGAATAATGTGCAGATTTTAAAAAGGAATTTTTTGTATTTTTTGATGCAGTACAGAATTGCGCAATTACTTTTTAAAAAATCCGGAAAAAGGTTACAGTGCTTAAGTAGTAAGTTTTATTTTATGGCTAGGTTTATCAAGTCTATATTTCAGCAGTTTTGGGAAAACGTTTCATAGGAAGTAAGATAGGTGTTTTTTCAATTGTCTTTAATTTGACAGCTTTTCTTGAACGTGCCATCATACTAAAATTTGCGGAAACATTTTTCACTCTTCAAAATCCTTTGGTATTTTAAATTTATAATTATGAAAGATTTTTCTCTTTGTGTGTATCATATAACACAGAGACTGTTAGCACCACACAGCGCAGATCTTTGAACACTTTTTGGCTGGACAGTGAAGGTGTGAACCTCGAAGCAAACTTTTCCCTCGAGTCTAAGGGAACAGATATCTCCGAGAAAAACCATTTTTAAAGGAAACTGGATGATATTCACATTTAAGTATGAAGAAAACCCGAATTCTTTCATGCAACCAATTCGTTCACAGGGATTTGAACCTAGTTCGAAGTACTAGTATTCAGCGAATTTACAACTCTGCTGTCGTTGGCTTACAGCCTTGAGAAATGCGCACTGAAGATTGGTCTCTATTCTTGTAAGAAATTGATATACTATCAGGTTTATATAAAAGCGTCGAATTGAGATAACAGACGATTTTTATTTTTTGACAGGATCGCAAATATTAAACGAAAAGGCGGGAAAACTGCAAAAACGTACTTAATTTATACCAGCTGAGAACTGAAACACCTCAGTTGAGACACTTTTAAAAAGGAGTTTAAGCTTGTAATAATATTATTACGTCGAAAGAAATCATAAAATCATTACATATAGCTTTTCAACCTGGCATATCAAAACATGATAAAACACGAAATAAACCAAGTAGCAGATTATGTAAAAAACTTTTATATTCAAATGCGTAATCTTTCTAAATCATCAGTAAAAGTTGCTTTCTGTCGCATTTGCGAACAAAATAAATGCTTCTGAATTAAATTAAGAAAGAAATATAAGAAGAAACTTGTTATTTTGATAATGTAATAGTATTAAAAAAGTTTTACGGATGAAAAATATTTTCTAATTAGCTTTATAAATGTAAAAGTTGTTAAAGTGTTGTGAAATTTGACAAATCTTAGGACTTCCAAATTAAAGTTTGAAATATAGCACACATGTAAACAATAAAAAGAAACTTAGTTTCTATTTTTTTATTTTGTAAAAAATAATATATTTTATAATAACTGATCAAGTTATATAATTAAGAAATTCTATGTGAAAATTTTATTTTGAGTAACTTTTCAGATGGAAAAAATTTGAGAATTTCAAGAGAAGTTTTGTGAAATGTAGTTAGTTGCAGTAGTTGAATAGATTACAAATTAATTATTTTTCTAATTTCCATGCACTTTTGAAAATATGAAATATTTATGCTTCTGCAAAACGCCTTTAATTCATTACGCTATTTTCCAGCTCATAATTCTGTGTTTCAGGTTGTATCTGGAATGAAATACATGTTTAAAATGAGAATAGGTGCTACGGAATGTGAAAAGGGTAATAATGACGTAGATTTGAGTAACTGCGAGTTTAAAAATTGTGAAGTGAGTATGAAGTCATTATTCTTACTGTTATTTATTTATTTGTGATTTTCTTGAAACTTGATTTCCTTAATACATGATTTTATTTAATTTGGTACCCCTACTTTTTACCGGAAGGGGTTCAAATTTTATAATTAACTAGCGGACAAGCCCGCCAGGTGAATGAGCTGCAGCCAAAGCAAAATTTATAAGTTCTGAGTACCCCTGAAAAGCAAATGTATAAAAATATTTCAATATGATTGAAATCAGTTCATTCTTTCCAAATAATAATAATAATTTTTTTTATTGCCAAACCAGGAAAACAAAAAATTTTGATATTTCAGGTGTGACGTCATGATTTAAATTTAATCGAATAAAACATATTTTCCTTAATATTAATCAAAGAGTTAATGTGGCAGTAACATATCATGTCAATTATACTAACCTGAAACAAAAACAAAAAAAAAAAAAAAAAATTGTCAGCAGCAACTATTTAGTTAAAATGCTGATAACGAAAAATTGTTGACATACAATGACGTCAAATGCAATCACCTACTTTCTTCGACGTCAGAATATGACTTTTTGTAATAATAATATGTTTAACATTTGTCAATGCTATTTTTACTTCCTATTTTGCAAAACTTACAAATTTCTGCTGAACAAACTTCACTATTTGAAAGCGAACCGTGGCAACAGCTTTTGAAATAAAGCATTTTTATATCCAGTGCGCCAGTCACTGTTGTCACTCAAAAACGAGTGCAAAAGTTAGCGTTTTTGAGAGTTTTCAATTAATATCTCGATTGGTTAAGTCGTACCAAGATAACCTTCTCACGAATTTTTGGAATGAGAGGACATGAGAAGACTTTCGGCTCGTCACGTATTTAGAGTGCCCTCATTCCGCACGGTCACTATGCATTTACAAACATCCATGTCTTATCTGGGATTCGAACCCGGGCCCTTCGGTGCCACTTCGCTCCCCTAACCCCTATACCGTCTAGGCGACAACTCCAGGAGATGATACCACAAACAAACAGAGCTTCAGATTTTAATAGTATAGAATTTTGATACTTCTATTGAGCCGCTTTTCTTCAGATTTCTCAGACATGCGTATTTGCGATGACAGAATAATATTCTTTTTCGAAGTTGCGTCATTTTATTCAAATGCAGTAATGTTTAACTATCACAATATTCTTAGTCATATATATTTAAAAATAATGTCATGGGGCACACATACAAGAATTGTATTGCAGCATGAATTAAAGGTTAAGCAACAACAGAAGTAATAACGCAGAAATCACATGTATGGAGAAAAATATAACTATTTAGTATCATCATCGCACAGAAGATAGATTTAAATAACGTTGTTTCATCGCCATCATCTCCTTATTCATCATGTCGACTGTCCAGCTCAGTGATGGCGAAACTTTTGAGTTCGGCGTGTCAAAATTCGAAAAAAAAAAACCCTAACTGAACTCTGGAGTAGTGTCACATGTTCACACACTCGCAACATTTTGCTGTGTCATACATTCATAGTATTTTGATATTTTCAGCCCTAACTAAGAAAAGTTACATTTCTGATTTTTTTAATTTTTATTTTTAAATATTTACTTTTACTTCTTTGTACGAAGTAAAGGAAATATTGTAATCGCGAAAAATTTAGGGTATCACATTTCAACGAAAACATCCCCCTTTATTGTGTTTTTAAACTGTTTTAGGCTTTTCTGTATTTTACAAATTTTAATGAAATTGAATGAATGAGGAATATATCTCTAATGAAATTCAAGGAAATTGAATGAATGAGGAATATATCTATAATAATAAAAGCAAGTGTAATGTGTCTGTCTGTCTGTCTGACCGAGCTCTCCAGCCAAATCTATCGCACGCAGGGACCTGGAATTTTTATACGGAAGCACAAAGGGCTGGCCACCAGACCTCGAAGCTCGATTTTCGATTTTGAATTAGAAAAATTTAAAAAAAATATTATAATTAATAATACGGTTTTTTGCTCACTGATATTATTTTGTTTTCAAATAACGTTCGATTGTAACAATTGATTTCTTATTCTAGCGTAGGTTGCTGTTTTGACGATACATAAATCGATGAATTACAATTCATTTCTTTTGGTAGCTTGTGGGGGGGGAAGAGAGAGCGACAGTCTACATGTCCTACACTACTATTCCTGCGCTATTCACTTATCTGCATTTTCTAAATGCACGGGCAACGCCGGGCGGGTACACCTAGTCTCTAATGAAATTCAAGGAAATAAGCTTTAATCAAGTGCAGCAAAAAATGTGCATAATTTAATAGGCCGTTCGTGGAAATCATATGGTGTCCGGTGTCCGCCGATAACATCGCGGAAGAAAACGTCGCGGAGAAAACAACGCAAGGCGAAAACGTCGTGCTACAAAACATCATGGGAGAAAACATCGCAGTTCTTAAACATCGTGGTACAAAACACCGTGGTCGAAAATAGAGCGGTTCAAAACTTCGCAGTTTAAAAACATCGTCATCGAAAATATCGTGGTAAAAAATAAGGTATCTACAAATCATCGCATGACGATAACATCGCAGACATGCTTTTTTCAGGTTTTAATAATTGTAAATGGATCCCATAAGGATTTTTGAGCGCAAGATGAAAAGAAGAATAATTTTTACTTTCACATTTTTTTATTGACTAATAAATTTTTGCTGAAAAAGTAAGAAGGAAACTTAAGCATAGAAAATTAAATGCAACTTATATAGATTATACTTTTCATGAAAAATTACCAGTAAAAACTTTATAAAAATGATTTATTAATGGCCTTTGTTAGTTAACTATGTCGGTTTAAAATTCTATTGAGTGCTATAAGTTGCATTAATTTTCTATGCTTAAGTTTCCTTCTTATTTTCTCAGCAAAAATTTATTAGCTAATAAAAAATATGAAAGTAAAAATTATCCTTCTTTCCATCTTGCGCTCACAAATTATTATGAGAATATCCATTTACAGTTATTAAAGCCTAAAAAAGCATGTCTGCGATGTTATCGTCATGCCATGATTTGCAGATACTTTATTTTTTACCACGTTATTTTCGACAACGATGTTTTTAAACTGCGAAGTTTCGAACCGCTTTATTTTCGACGACAATGTTTTGTACCACGATGTTTTAGGAATGCGATGTTTTCTCCCACGATGTTTTGTAGCACGACGTTTTCGCCTAGCGTTGTTTTCTTCGCGACGTTTTCGTCCGCGATGTTTTCGGCTGTAACCGATGATCTGGTCCGTGCACTTAAAATTTCTTGTTCGTAGTGCAACGATTTCGTTTCTGATTTAGAAGTTTCGATCTTAAGGTGACAAACACATGTGTCCAGATGCTATCTTGAAAATCTGCGAGTTGTATCTCTAAATCGTCAGTCTGCATCCATTGGAAATCCTTTAATTATAAAGCACTTGTAAACTACTCATCCGGATATTTAATCATTTTAATGGCCTTTCGAAATATTTTTCTACTTGAGAAAAATACTTATTAGTTTCTACTATCTCGCTTAAAAGTTTTTATTTAAAAAAAAAAAAGAAAAAAAAAATTGACGTATCCAAACATAACGTCAATACCTTTGCCAAAACTTTGCAGTTTTCAGTTTAATTCATTTATTCTAGCAATAGAGATATCTTTAAACGGTATTCCTTCCTTTCATCTTTACTGTTTTCATTAGTTTACAATGATTAGTTTCAAAATGTGCCTTTACATTCCACACTATTGTTTCATTACACGGTATGCATAATGATGAATTGTTTCTGTGAAGAATCCCGTACATTTCGGTTCAGATATCTTGAAATGGTCGGCTACTGCTACTTCCACTTTCAACATATTATCTTGCTTTTTTGTTTTTTGAATTCTTGACCATAGGAATTCAAAAGTAAATAAATAAATATAAATCATGGAGGTTAAGTTATACTGTTGCAAAAATATTACACAACATTTTTAGTCTTTTAACGTTTGGATTCTCACTGAAATTACTTAAGAAGTGAAAACAAAATCTGCGAAAGCAGTTTAGAACTACAGAAAAAAAAAAAAAAAAAAAAAAAAAAAAAAAAGCTAACTAGTTTTTATCAGTTTAATTCGCCTTTTTATTTCGGAATTTATGAGGGTTTTTTTTTAAACGTTCCTGAGGAACTAAATATCTAGACATTGAAACGATCTATAAAAAATTATTCTTAACCTTTTTCACCTAAGTCGATATTTTCGAAGATAAAATAAAAAATGTTTCAAAGTTAAAGGGAAAATAAGTAGAAAGGAATTTTTTTAAGATACTCGTCGTTGTATACATCAGAACAAGTAGTTTTTGATCTAATAATTTTTGAGCCAACAGACGACTGATGGGAATGCGAAAACTTGTTTTCGTAATATAGGAATTTTGAAACGTAAAGAACTGCAAAAATACCACAAGGGGATTTTTTTTCACGACTACAATAATCTTTCTGACGCGAAGAAGTAAAAGCACATACTCGGAAAAATACACAAAAATGTAAGGTTAATGGGTTTCTCACCTAGTAATTTTATGCAGTGTTGAAGACTGACTGCTGGTATAAGTGAAGAGGAATTAAGTTAGGTAACAAGTCGAAGGAATCTGATGTAATCAACTATCCCAGACGCAGAATATCTCATGGAGCACTGTATGACATTCTCTCGCAGCCCAACCGAGATAGTGGTTAGCGACGCTGACTGCTGTACCAAAGGACCCGTGTTTGAATCCCTTAGAAGGCATGGGTGTTTGTAAATGTGTAGTGTCTGTGCGGTATAGGAGCACTTTGAATACCCGTTTTCCCCGGTGTGCGCTCCTTCAAAACTGGGAACTGAACTGGCCAAGTCATAATGCCACCTGTATGATGCTTAAGGCTCCTGCAAAGAACAGACGCAGTCTTGCCTCTTTGCCACAATGAATTTCATGGACTTGCTCTGATCTCACAGGAGAGGCCTGATGACACAGGAGGGTCTATTCAGAGGCCTGATCTGATGCTACTAATCGATATCGGAACTGGGATAAGCGACAACAATAGCAACAATACCGTTGTCTGTCACTCTTAACGAACATGGCGATCGAAAGCATTCTTCTACCATGATCGTACAAGCCCAGAACATATTAACAATGACGAGGCCGTTGGCAAGAGACAAATATTTTTGTATTTTGCAATTTTGTTTTCAAGTCGACTATTCATTTTTGGTGCGCGTCATGCAAAATGAGTTCGCGTGTCACTTATGGCGTGCATGTTATAAGTTCGTCATTACTGATCTAGCTGGCCCAACAAGCAGTCAAAGTTACAGCTACAATTACATTATTCAATAACAGTTATATGGCCATTCTTACATATGTTGAAAAGCATATATAATAATGATTAGCTTCAGTTAATATAATTCCTGTCTGACGGTTTGCATTTAAATATCCGTTATTAAAAGTAGTCACATTTAGCAAAAAATAAAATAATTTTTTTCATCTTTTCAGTGCGTTTAAATAAATCCTTAAATTAAAAAATTAATGTATACATTTTTCAATTCTCCTCAGCGTTTTTATATGCAAGAGTGAAATGTTTCTTTTGCAAGTAAAACTACTTTTCTAATCAAAAACATACACTGACTACCAATAAGTATTTGAACACCGAACATGCAAATGAATCATATCGGGCCCAAGGTACGCCACGGACTCCGCGGATATATCGTGTAGGAAACAGCATCGGCTTTAGTCGCATGCAAGATGCCTCGCAGTTCGGAGCTCTCTGATTTCGAGAAAGGTATAATTATCGGGTATCACAATGTGGCCGATCCTTAAGGACATATCTAGCGATCTGAAGTACCCCCAAATCGATAGTGGCCTATGTGATTAAGAAGTGGAAGGTGAGGTGATGTGTCGGAATGTGCCCGAGTCGGCAGACCAACGAAACTGGGAGATAGAGACCGACGAGTGCTGTCCAGAGAAATTTGGAAGAACCGCACCCAACCGATGGCCCTCATCCGCGAGGAGTTTAACAGACATCCGGGAGTATTGTTTCAATGAATGCCATCCATAAGGAAGCACATCTCCTTGGTTTTCATGGTCGTGCTGCTGCCCATAAGCCTTTGATCACAAAGTCCAACCACGCTGCTCGGTTAATGGGGTGCAAAGCACATCGAAATGGGAGCGTAAATCAGTGGAAACGGGTTCTTTGGAGTGACGAATCAAGTTTCACCCTTTACCGTTCGGATGGCAGGGTCTGGGTCTGGCGTCTACCTGGAGAACCGTCTCCTGCCAGAATTCATTGTGCCAACAGTGAAGTTCGGCGGAGGTGGAATTATGGGTCTGGGGGTGTTTTCTCCTGGTATGGGCTGGGACCCTTGGTCCCCATTCATGGTAAGCTCAACTCCGATACCCTACTGCACTATTTTGGATGACAATGTGTTCCTACGTTGGCAGTTTTACGGGTTGGACCCCTGTTCTTTCAGGACGACAATGCCAATAGTCCATGTTTCGACGTTAACCAAGGGGTTTTGGTGCCAATGGAGTTCATTGAATGGACTCGGCCTGCCCAGAGTCCAGACCTGAACCCTATCGAGAACCTCTGGGACGTTGCATCGCCGAATTCAGGGGTGCACTACCGTGCAAATCGGTGAAGGAACTTCTATGTCTTCTCCAAGCCGAGTGGAAGAAAATACCACTAGCTGTCATACAAAGACTTGTGGAAAGTATGCCCTGGAGGAGCCACGCTGTAATTACCTCTCGTGGAGGCTCTACCAACTATTGATTTTGAATAAAGTTAGTTTTTTTTCTATCACAGGTGTCCAAATACTTATTGGTAGTCAGTGTAGTTATAACTAAATCAAAACTTTCAGATTATGTTGATTTAAAGTAGAAAAAAGATCAGATTGTTGTTACATGTCATGAAACGTTTGAAAAATATGATTCTTGAATCTGCATAACACCCACTCCGCTAAGATAATTCTAGTAAATTTCTTTCTAGAACAGAAATTTTGTCTTTATTTTTGCAGTTATCCAAATTTCACATATCAGTGTAATTTCAAATAGTTGGTTTTTATAAGGCTAAGAAAAATAAAGGTTTATTTTTAAAATTTATTCACGCGTTTTAAAATTATTTTAATGTATATTATATATTGCGTAGAGTGTGTGGAAAAATTTAGAAGTATACTATCTCGATAGTATATGACAGTATGATTCGAAGACAGTCCAGATCTTGTGCCTTGAATGAAGCAAAGAGGTAGATTGAAGCCGGTGTGGACAGCAATATCATATAAACATTTAGCAACACTGATTATGCTGAACAGTCCTTTATCACTGCCAGAGACTGCTAATGTATTCTGGAGAATAAAGTCCAACCCATTTTTCATAAGTGTAACCGAAGACAGTGCCATGTATGAAGATGATAATGTGCCACCTAGCCGGGTTAGTGACTAGCGATGCCTGCCATGCCGAAGGGCCCGTGTTCGAATCTCGGAGAAGGCATGGATGTTTCTAAATGTACACTGTTTCTGTGGCATATGGGAACTCTAAATATGCGGCGAGCTGAAAGTCCTCTCGAGAGGTTTGTAATAGGGAAAGAGGGTGGGAGACTCATGGACCCGAAATGCTGTTTACCAAATTTGGGGGCGGAACTGAGCAGTCATACTGTCGCCTGTATGATGCTCAAGGCTCATGCCACGACAAGCGCAATCCTGCTCTCCTTGCTCCGATATATTTCGTGGTTTTCTTCTGATATTACTGTCAGAGATAAGTCACTTGTCTGAAAACAACAAACACAAAGGTGATAGTATACGAGTTTCACATCTCAAAACTGATGGCAGTGTTTTGAAGAGCATCAAATTCAACTTAAATTCATATCTTTCATGTCCTGCACAGTTTTCTGGTTTTAAAACCACTGGAGTTATTTGGGTATACTAGAACACAGTGCTGTAAAATATTTCCTCTTCCACTTTCACGAATGAAATAAATAATGCTTTGATAATAATATGTTGCTGTTTTATAATAAAATGAATAATCATTTATAACTATTTACATAATTAAATTTTAATAAATCAGTTTGTTTTTTCCAACAAATAGTTCTGCAATGTTGGACTCAGAAAGCTGAGCTTATTCCCATGCTAATAAAATAGTACGCGCCAGGTGTACATGTTTGAATTTCATTATCAAAACTTTAAACATTTTTTGAAACATTGTTTGAGCGTACTAAAAATCGATTAAACTGTCCTTTATATACTTTTAGGACATGAGTGGGAAAAATCTTGTAATAATTAAATCATTAATTAAAAAAATTAATTATTAATATACGACTCTATTAGATTATTAGTGTAAAAAGTACTACGCGATCTTATAATATATTTTCTGTGTTTATGATACATTACTATACAAAATAATATGTAAGACTTCAGTGCTGAGCAGTTGTGTGTAACAAGTTAAAAATGAAAAGAATGTATTAATAAGAGATTCGCCTTAGTAATTCAACTAAGTAAAATAAGATGAAAAAAAATATTTCCCAATTAGTTTTTTTTAAAAAGATGTTTATTGTAAGATATAACGCGATATACTAATGTAAACATTGTTTGTATGAAGTACAATGTAAAATGAAATTTGTACGCATATTCGAAGTAATTATGTTTATTAATCTGCATAATCCCTTTTGTAATAGGTCAATCTCTTTGTAATAATTGTATCCTGTGTCTTTGTAGTGTATATTCAATACGTAAATCTAGTATTGATGTAAAATTACTATGTAAATGTCTGGTAGCTAGCATCCGATGCGGGCCAACTAAAAGCCCAGCGGGGTACAGTAGTGCGGCGGGGCAACACCTGTAAAAGTCACTGACGAAGTTCTGGTGCTCCGTCCACTTTTCCCTGTCCCTGTCCTTTATATACTTCAGTTTCTTCAACGTTTAGAGTTTAAAAGTAATTCTTAAAGCACAATACTGAAAATTTTCATATCTTGAAAACATCTATCCTTTCAGATGTTGGTATTTGTACAGGTATTTTTATTTACATACCTAATGATATTTACTAAGTTTTGCTTCTAATAATTAGTTTATAATGCATTTTATTGATAATCTCAAATTATATGTAACAAATAAGGCTATTGTAACTGTGTTTTAAGTGGTTTAAAAAGTTTTTTTTGATTTCTTTTCAATTTATTGATAAAGACATTGCTTTAAACATTAAAATGTAAGTTATTAGATATATTTTACCATGTACTTTATAAGCAATCAACATTGCATGCACGTATGATATTACATATATTTATGAATAGGAAATAAGTCTCATCTTAGTGCTATGAAATGAAAAGTAAAAGCACAAAATTTTAGGAATGAAATGAAAATGCTAAATAAGTTCTGCGAAATTCTCTATATTGAAGAGAGTAAATTCTGCCTATTTGCTGATCGAATTTTATTTAGCTTTTGTTTAATTTAATTGTCGTTGAATTTTACTTATTACTAAAGTTTGCTTCTATTATTGTACGGAATTAAATACCTTTTATAAAATTACTTCTGTGTTGCAGAGTTTTATTTATTTAGTAATAAGCATTATTTTATCCTTCAGGCTCCAATGATTTGTAAAGCAACTGTATGGGATCAACCTTGGAAGGAAGATGGCACCAGGCTCTTAAACTATTCGTGTGAATCAGATGAAAGTCCATGTTAATCGAATACGCTTGCTTTTTACTCTTTCTTTAAATTAATTTCGTAGTGTTTATTTGAACTTATAATGTAGTATTCTTTAATTTTATATGAACGTTTTAAATTGCTTTTTAAAAATTGGGTGTTTTCCTTGAAGATGGGAAAAGTAATCTTCATACTCAAAAAATGTCAATATTTTCTTACTAAAGCTGAGAATTATTGCTAGCAGTTTAATAATTTACAAATATGATTACGTACTGAGTTATTTATCTCAATCTCTTGTATAACGTTGTTTAGGTTTTAGTATCGAGTTTTCTTGTAAAATACGTGAGTTTCTAACTCATTTATATTGTGGAGTCGTATTAAACTTTTTATCCGAAATTAGTATGTTTTGTGTATTAAATAATTATTATAAGTATAAAATAAAATAATATGCAATTGATTTGCTTTTCGTTTCTTGGTTCTTAACTATTTAGTTTATGTAATGCTCAATGAGTTGAATTCTTCTTAAGCAGTGCTACGGATTTTTAGAAAATAAAATACTGAGTTGAGAGAAATTCAGTTACCTGACTCTTAGTGAATATTGTTAGAGATAAATTTGGATCGGATTATTTATGTGTGGTTAAATTTGGATCGGATTATTTATGTGGTAAAATATACTAGGCCTTCCTGCCAAGGAAATGGAACGCTTTTCTGTATAATGTCCTAAGATAAATTCGTCCATATTTACGTTACACATCGGGAAAATTATAAGAAAATGGGATCAGCTGGTTCCATCATCTTTAGTGTAGACCTTTCCCCCCGGTTGCTTATGAGCTTGTAAATTTGAATGTTGGATTTAAAATGCATTTGTTCCCCTCCTTTATTACTGAGCCCTAATAAATGTTTAAAGAAAATGAATAGCAAGCTGAGACTAAGAGACCACAAGGTTGTGTAACTAAACGTTTTGCTCTTTGAAAGAGGTGCAATAAACTGTAGAATTCATCACAAGAAGGTGTTTTAAGAACAACAATATTCTGTAATTATGAATACTTGGTCATTAAACTGTTTCATTCAGGGTAAAAGTAATTGATATGACGGGGTAGTTCAGAGTAATCGTATTTGATATGACAAACTAAATAGCTGATATAACAAAATAATTTAGATTTCAAAGTACATCAGGTACATGTCAGTTGATGTTTCAATGATGGGTACGTGACGAAGGTAGAATTTTATTCGACATTCCGAGTCAAAACTAGTGATGTGATTGGACAGACATAATGCAATAACATTTAAACATACATAAAATAAAAAGTCTCATTTTACTAAATCAAAAACTAAAAATTATAAATCTTTTAGGCACACGTGTTGAGCACACAAAGAAGGCAATCTTGCTTGAACCCACTGTCTAGGGAAGATATATTTACAATACATTTCGCATTAAAATAAATTATCTAAATAAACTGAATATGGAATCCATAGAAACTCAAAGATTTGGAACCTAGCCTTTGATTCTTTGCATCAAAACATACCCACCGATATCTTTAAACATAAGTAAAAACGCAGCTTAATTGCCTACATTTACGAATACCTTCTTACTGATTTATATCGCACTTATTTTTGTATGCGCATGAAATCTAAATTATGGTAAAATATTGTTTTATATACGTAAGGAAAATAAGGAATATGTAAAAGATTAAATTATCAACTTAAATTTCCCTTCTCAATTCTAAAAATAGTAACCTCTCTCTGCACTGGGTAATTTCTAGATTAGTCCATGTCACATGACTCATATTCTGATGATATAAATGGAGCTTAAACTCCAACAACCAATAGTAATTTTATAGCAATATTAACTATCCAATCAAAAGGCATTGAGAACCAAAACTAACTCTTTCAATGATTTCACCCTAAACATAACGCACTTACTTTCAGCGCTTTGGCTTAGCTGGACTGCTGTCTGTCTGCTGCTTCCTTCTTGCTGCAAAGTTGTCAAAAATATAAACCTCTTGGAATAGATACAATTAATGAGGCAACTTAATTGTGTCCGCAACATTTTTGCTGAGAATATTTAATCTGTCTTCTGTTCCAATTTCCTATTCATTATGGATCAAAAGTTCTGCTGGTCAGTTACTTCTGACTTTTTTTTACCACATATATATATTTATTGACTATACTTGAGTATACACACAGTAGGCAAAACAGTGATTGATCTGCAAATGCGCAACTGGCAGACACACTGCGTTAAGGGCTAGATAACAAGACAATTTGATGGAGATGGATTAATAGAGAAAAAAAAAAAAAACTAGTGATATAAAACATTTTGTAAACTCAGTTCCAATAAACAGACGGACGTAAAAGTTTTATACCATTTGCATTGAAGCTATGTAAGTTATGGAATGAATTACTGCAAGATTTCATTGCCGAAGTTCTTGTAAATTAGTGGGTAAGGATGGCAAGACTATTTTACCTTAGCTAATTTTAAAATAAAAATATCCATAAAGAGTTGGGCCTAGAAACATGAAAGGTCCAATAGCAAAACATGTAGTCTCCTGATGTACTTTGATCAATTTGACAGCAAAGAATAGCCGTAAATTCAGACTACCTGCCTAACATAGCTCAGTATGGAGGTATATAAGTTACTCTTTTCCTTTTCGATGAGGTATTATATATACCGGGTGGCCATAATTAAACTGACAGTGCTCACAGTGTTCTGTAGCGCGATCTATTTGTGAGAATGACGCCACATTTTGTAGGAAGATTAAACAAGACGGGGGACGAAGGATTCCGCGAAAAAATATTAGTTCCAAAAGTCACCGCTAGGGGAATATTTGGCGCTGTGTAATAGGATATAGAGTGTTAACAAATGCAAATTAATACGGAATAAAATTACCTTTTATTATGGATATGCCTTATGGAATATGGATATGCCTTACAGTACGGTATGGAAAATCTTACGAAAGATTATCAACTTCTATCCGTACAAGATCAGCCTTGTACAGGAGTTACTGTACTCCGCAGTTGACTCTTGCTCTCACCTTTCTTGCCAGAATGGAGGTGGATGATGCTTGGCCGTGATGAATGATCATATGGGAAGACGAGGCCTACTTTTACCTGAATGGAACTGTGAATACCCAGAACTGCCGAACTTGGGATGACAAATCACCACATGCAGTCACAGCAATTCCCTTACATTCACCAAAGGAACTGTTTGTGTGGGTTGACAGCGGAATTTACCGTAGGTCCATTCTTCTATGAGAACATTACCCCGAAGGCAAACCTGCTCTGTACCGGAAGAAATATCGCCTGGGGCTTTGATTCCGGAATCAGCAAAGACATTTTGGGGAAATATGCAAAATGGAGTCCCTCCACACGTTGCTGTACGGGTGCAACAGATGATACGACAGAAATTCACAAACAGAAAGAGACATTAGCCGCTACTTTGCAACTACATGACCACCTCAGTCGCCTGATCTTGCCCCATGCGACTTCTGGCTATGGGGTGACCTTAAGTCTATCAAGGTCTATCAAGGAAGTGGTCCAGGACCAGACTACGTTGAAGGATAACATATCAACGGACTGTACGGGAGATTCCTGCAGACACGTTACTTTCTGCTGTTGCGCATACTGTGCACAGAATGCAATATGTGGTCCACAACAACGGCAGCCACATTGAACCTCATTTGAATGCAAAATAAAAGGTAATTTCCCTATTGATTTGCATTTGTTAACACTCTATTTTCTATTACACAGCGCCAAATATTCCCCTAGCGGTGACTTTTGAAACTAATTATTTTTTCGCGGAAGCCTTCGTCCCCCGTCTTGTTTAATCTTCCTACAAAATGTGGCGTCATTCTCGCAAATAGATCGCGCTATAGAACACTGTGAGCACTGTCAGTTTAATTATGGCCACCCGTTATTTTCAGTGCAAGAAATAAAAATTTCGCCAAGAATTAAAAATCACTCTTCAAGCACCCTACTACAACTCAACTCTGCCAGTCTGAGCCAACCAAGAGCGTTCGACACCTTGTAGATAGAGTCACCGCAATGCGCGATATGCCCGAACCATCTACAGTGAAGGACATAAGATTTCTTGCTATTCTCAATATTTATCGACGTTTCTTACCTCATGCAGAGACCATACAACCACCTCTAGATTCGTTTTTGGTTGGAAGCAAGAAAACGCTAAACGTGTTATAACCTGAACCGCAGAATCTCGCGAAGTGTTCCAAAAATGCAAAAATGTTTTAATTTTGGCAACAAATTTCCATCAGCATCTAAACCATTATTACTCTACGTTGACGCATCAACAATATGTATAGGAGCAGTTTTACAACAGAAAGAACAAGAATTATGGAGTATGGAGTATGGAGACCACTTTCAAATTGTAACAAAAAAAAAAAAAAAAAAAAAAAAAAAAAAACTCTCACCAGCATAAATCAGATACAGCACTTACGATCGCGAATTATTAGGAATTTATGAAGCTGTTATTTATTTTTAACATATGCTAGAGGGTCGCGTTTTCATGATCTTCACAGAGCACAAACCCTTAACCTATGCTTTTCAACAGCGTTCGGATAAAGCTTCTCCTCGTCAAATGAGACACAGACTTCATAGGGAAATTTTCAACAGGCATCCGTTATATTGAGGGTTTGCAGAATATTGTTGCCTTGTTCGTATTGAAGAACTAGCCGTTCCTTCGCCAATAAACTTTGCTGCCCTTGCGAATGAGCAACACCGAGATTCCTCTTAAAAAGCAAATCTTCCACCAATCTCAACTTGCAGTCTATGCAGCTGTCACCTGGAAAATCACCTTATTGTGATGTTCAGGATTCAAGATTTCGACCTTATGTTCCCTCCGGGTTTCGCCATGCCATTTTTAGTCAGTTACATCCTGGCATCAAGGCTTCGAGGAAACTGATATAGCAACGTTTCGTATGGCCTAGCATGCAAAAGCATATAACCAACTGAACACGTTAGTGCTTGGAGTGCCAAAGATCTAAAATTGTCAGACACACCCCCAGCCAATTAAAAAAAATTAATTTGCCCTCATCTCGCTTCAGTCACGTGCAACTCGACTTGGTCAAGCTATTGCCGCCCTCTAATGGATATTCCTATATCCTTACTTGTATTGATCGATTTACTCGCTGGCCCGAAGCCACTCCTTTGGTATATATTTCAGCTGATACGGTGGCAAAGACATTTTACACCGTTTTGATTTCTCGATTTGGAGTTCCGGAGCAGATTTTTACTGACGAGGGGCGTCAGTTCGAGTCCCAACTCTTCACGTCACTAAGTATTTGGGCCCATACACAGTGAGAACCAGCCCCTACCATCCAAGTTCCAATGGAATTGTCAAGAGATTTCATCGCTCCTTAAAACAATCAATTCGATGCCACACTGCTTTACAGTGGACTGATGTGTTACCTACTGTACTTCTAGGTCTTCGATCAGAGTTAAAAG